GGTTTTAACTCAGAAGGGCCTCCAGGAGGGGTTTTAACTCAGAAGGGCAAAAGGTATCCTGTTTACTAAATGAGAAAGCTGGTATATTGGAAGCTGAGGCGACCTACCTCCCAAGAGCTGAGATTTGCGTCGATGGATCAAAAATGAGAGGCGACTAGAGGGAGCTGAAGAACTGCTGCTAGCTCATCAATCCAGGAGAGGGGTTCTGCTGTGCCCGAACATATTGGAGTTTCTGGGGCCCAGAAACTCCATTTCTACACAAGGTCATCAGCTGTCCTCCTCTGGGAGTGGACCTGGGTGCTGGGTTGTGGCTGAGGCCTGGCAAATGTTAAGGGAAACAGTGTTAGCTTGACAGCTCTCAAAGCCTGGTTGGCCCCATCTCTTGAGTTGGAGAGGGGTTGGCTCTAAAAATACCATCTAAGAAAGTAAAAATCGGTTTACAAGCCACACACGCCTGTATCTCCAACTACTTGGGAGGCTGGGGCAGGAGGATATCAAGTTCCAGGCCAGTCTGTACAATTTTGCCAGAGCCTGTCTCAAAATAAAAAATAAAAAGGACTGGGGTATAGATAAGTGGTAAAGCACCCTTGGGTTCAATTCCCAGTGGCCGTACAGGGAGGGGAAGAGGGAGGAAAAAAGGAAGGAAAGAAGATTAATCTACACTGAGAATGTAAATCTTCCTGCCAATTCAGACCTGGCTGACAAAAACAGAACCAGTTGCAAGTGAAAGAGAGAATTATTTCCCTTAAGGGCACACTGGGGATACCATCATGTGTATCACAACCTCAGGATCCACACTGAGAAAACCTGCTCCCAAAACCACAGACCAGCACTTTGCCCTCTGACATTGTTAACAGGAAAAAGGAAACACCCCCTATTATTACTGGCAGCCAAACCAAGGGAACCTGCCTGGCAAAATTGGCTCACCCACTCACATAAGAAATAGGCAAACAATGGAAGAAGTAAGAATTAATTTTATGCAGTTTGATCAAACTGGAGAGAAGCAGACAGATTGCTTCTCCACAGATCCCACAGAAGATAGTTCCACAGAAGCAGTTACAATTTACAGAAACAAAAGTCAGTGTTATACACATGTATATTTAACTGCCAGAGAACATGTCAGTTTCAGCTGGCTAAACTGGCTATGCTCATGCAGACCAAGGAATAGATTCTATTCTCAGCATGAAGAAATTTAGCTCTCTGTTTCATCTGGACAGAGGGACTCCATCCCCTCCTGTCTCTTCCATTTCAACCTGGGATAAAGCTTCAGTTTCTGGCAGTTGCTCAATGCTGTAGTCTCCAAGGAATCAGAGCTGGGTCCACTTTGCAGACCAGACATGCTGGCCCTTTACAAATAACTCATCTCATGCAAACCTGAACTCCACCCTTCCCAAAACTCATTAGATCTCTGTCTTTTCTTCTTCTTCTTCTTCTTTTAAATATTTTCTTTTTGTTTTAGATAGACACAGTATCTTTATTTTACATTTATGTGGTGCTGAGTATCGAATCCAGTGCCTCATGCATGCTAGGCAAGCCCTCTACCATCGAGCCACAACCCCTCTGCCTTTTCTTTTATTCTTGGGATGTTCTCCCTCACTGCAATGGGTTACAAAATTTACTCCTGGTGGTCTGAAGCTGAAGAGACTGCAAAGCTTCCTGAATTTCACCGAGGTAAAGATAGCCCACAAGAGATGTCACAAAAATTCAGGTGCAGGGCTGGGGATGTGCATCAATGGTGGAGTATGTGCCTAGAATGTGGGCAATCCAAGGTTCTATCCTAGAAGTGAAAAAGAAGAAAGTCCAGGTGTTACTGAAAGCTTGGTCCTTTCCCGGATGTTAATCCAATAACAAGGGCACAGTTTTGAGAAATAAAGTTTTATTGCTTTGCTAACAAAGAAGAAACACAGGGGACCCCTGTCCCAGAAGCTGTGATTCTCCCTATCAAGGGGAACAGGGGGCTTTTAGAGAGGCAATTCAAAGGCTACATTCCACATGTTCTGTCCAGAGTTGTAATTTGCTTATTAATTTGGGAGATAGTCATTTCTGAGATATTCTGGTGCCATTCCCAAAGTCTGAGTTACTTTTTTCCTGTATTGGGTGTGTGCTCAAGGACAGATAACTCTGCCTAGAATGGGGAAGAAAGGTAATCCTGTTTCCCTGATATTAGAGAGAGGAAAAAAATGAAACATTTCCATTTTAAGAATAAGTTACATTGGCAGGAGCAGCACTAATTTAAAGCATAAAGTGAACAACTGTTACCCAGGTACATTTTTTTTTTTCGGTGTAATGCTTCCAAAATTACCTTACCTGAGTCCACTGCCAGCTTCAAGTCTTCTCCAAGGACCAGTCTGCGGTACTCCTGGTACTCCTGGTACTCCTCCGCCCTATTCTGAATTCACTCATGCACTGTATCCTAGGGATTCTGAAGCCAACAGATCAAATTTCAGTCACTGATGTGAGAACTGTCAGGGGTCCAGATACGGATGGAGGTTGGGGAGATTGACATAATCTCTCTGAAAGGGAACATGGCATCTCATGAGGCACAAAAATGATTGTGCCTCATGACCACTATACCACTCTGGAGAATAGATTGCCAGAGGAGCTTCAAAGACAGAAAAAAAAAAAGTACAAAGATATTTTCTGGCCAGCTGGGCATGGTGGTGCATACCTGTAATCTACTCCTGGTGGTAGATTACAGGAGTAATCTACATAATCTACTCTTGCTGCTCTGCCACAGCAACTTATTTTTATTTATTTTTTAATTGTAAATGGACACAATACCTTTATTTATTTATTTTTATGTGGTGTGGAAGATCGAACCCAGTGCCTCACATGTGGCATGCAGGTGCTCTACCACTGAGCCACAACCCCAGCCCGCAACTTATTTTTAAAATGCACATGTTTCTTTCTTTTCCTCTCTCCCTTTTCCTCCCTACTCTCTACGGGAAAGAGGATTACCTTTCTTTCCCATCCTAGGCAGAGTTATCTGTCCCTAAGTACACACCTACCAAAGGAAGGAAGAAATCCCAGACTTTGGGGATGGTACCAGAAGGTCTCAGAAATGACTATCTCCCAAATTAATAAAACAGGGGTTCATATGATGCTTTGACTATATCCCTCGTGGCTTTGAAACTTACATTGTTTTTCTTTTCTTTTTCCCAACCTTCTTTTCCCTGTTCTCCTCCCTGATTTTTCCCCCTAATATTTTCCCTGATCTTCTCTGATCTTCTTTTCCCTGATAACCTTTCCTGATATTTCCCCTAATCTCATTTTCTCGGAATCACCTCTTTAAAAACGCCCTGTTCCTGATGATGTTCCTTTGGGTCACCTCTTTAATAAGAGCTCCCTGTCCCTGCTGATGAGAGAATCACAGCCTTTGGAACAGGAATCCCCTGTTTTTTCTCCTTTGCTAGCAAAGCAATAAACCTTGTTTACCTTTTTCTCCAAACCATGTCCTCCTTATTGGATTGGCATTGGGGACAAGGACCAAGCTTTTGGCAACAATCTCTGGGTACTCCCTCATTTAAGTACAATTCATATGCTAATCAATTTGTTTTTGTCTTGGGGATCTGACTTTGGCTTATCTAATTCACAGGACCTCTACCTAGAAAACCAACATGGAAAAAGGAAAAGATTGTGCCTCCCGACAAAACCTACAGGCAGATTCAGACCAGAGATGGAGAGCAGAGCTGTGGTGAGGAATCTGGCTCTCATCTTCCATTTTAACAATATTATAGAACTTCAGAACACACCAGATGAAAAGAAACCAGGCTCTGCTTTCATTTTATATAAAGCTGGAAAGTAGATTTGCACTTCCAAGCAAAAAGCTTTGAGTAAAACCTATGTTCCTACCAATTTGAGTCCAAGTTTTCTGGAACCTCTCCAGAATCATGGCCTAAACTCTTCCTTCCTGGGGCAGAATCTTGTGCCATCCAGTAGTACATACTCTACTCTCTTGATAGCCTGGACTCAGAGCTGTGACCAGGCCAGTGTACCTGTTCCTCTTGGAATTAAGAGAAGATCATGAGGCAATTTGAGTCCCCTATCACAAAATGGCTCTTTATAATCTCTTCTCCTTTTGGAAGATCATTTGACTTTTGTTTATTTTTGTTGTTTTTGTTGTTGTTGTTGCAGTACCAGGGATAGAACTCAGGGGTGTTTTATCCATGAACTATATCCCCAGCCCTTTTTATTTTTTATTTTGAGGCAGGTGAACTATGTTGCCCAGATTGGGCTTGAATTTGTGACCCTTCTGCCACACCCTTTTCTCTCCCCTAATTTGCTGGGATTACAGGTATGTGCCTCCATGCTCTTCTGGAAGACCCATCTTTTTTAAAAAAATTCATTCATTAAAAAGGGATGATATGGGCTAGGGTTGTGGCTCAGTGGTAGAGTGCTCACCTAGCATGTTCAAGGCCTTGGGTTCGATCCTCAGCACCAGATAAAAATAAATAAACAAAATAAAGGTATTAAAAAAAGTTGGGCTGGGATTGTAGCTCAGCAGCAGCGCCCATGCTAGGCAGGACCCGGATTCGATCCTCAGCACCACATAAAAATAAAGACATTGTGTTGTGTCCATCTACACCTAAAATAAATAAATAAATAATTTTTTTTTAAAGTCAATTACTTAAAAAGGGGGGCGGGGATGACAGGCCAAACTGTGGGTAGAGCACTTGCCTAGCATGCAGGAAGCCTTGGGTTCCATCCCCAGAACAACAAAATAAATAATAAAGGGATGTGTTGGGTTTGTGGGAGACTCTCCACTGAAGTTAAGTTTCCATCTGGAGAGAACATCACAA